AGGGTGGTGAAGACCAGGAGGGTGGTGAAGACCAGGTGGGTGGTGAAGACCAGGAGGATCTTCATGGCGAGGAGACGCCGACGAGCCTCAGCCCCCCAGGGCAGGTAGAGACCCCTCCCCATAGAACACTCTGGAGGCACTCGGGGACCTCCTCACCGAGGCCACATCTGCTGTCCCCACCGAGCCAGGAAAGGCTCCTGGGAGCCCAAATGTTTGCTTGCTTTGGCGAGGCCAAGGGAAGAGCAGCCAAGACGAGGGAGGATCCGGTAACGTCGTCCTCCTGCCGTGGGGGTGACCGGGTGTCATAGTCACAGCCACCACCCAGCCCACGGGCGGGGGCCACGGTGGCCACGGTGGCCCCCAGAGGCCACCAGCACACGGCGCTTTGGGCTCGTGAAGGTCTTTCCTGGAGGGGACTCTTGGGGAGTCAATGATAATTATGATGGGTCAAGTAAGCGTAGATGACAAATCACCACAAAATCAGGGGCTGAAAAGCAAGGGTATAATTACATAGATATTTATTTATGATTAATTACTTCCAGGCATCTCTATCTAGATATAAAATCCAAAATAGAGAATTCAAACGATTACCAACGCCGTTCAAACCGGGGCCAGTTGGGGATGGATGAAGTCAACTCTTCAAAGACAAGGGGGTGTCCCCAGAGAGGCTCCAAGAGGTCTCTCGGGGACGGTGACCTGGAGGCAACGCTCAGTTTTTGGGGTGAAAAGCGAGTTATTTGTCTGCCTTTAAGAGCAGACCCAGGAATGGGTGCAGGACAGCTGCTCCTGGGGCAGCCGTGCTGAGTTCTGCTGGCTGAGGAGGTCACGTCTCCATAGTGGTTTCTTTGTTCCCCAGGTTACAGCAGAGTCTTTGTTCCCCAGGTCACAGCAGAGCCTTTGTTGTGCGCTTATCTACGGCGGCCCCGAGCTCCCGCCCGCGCCTGGGAGGATGCTCCAGGTTCCTGGGCCAGGTTCCCGGGCTGGCAGAGGTCATCTGGGTTGGTATTTGAGCAGAAATCTTCTAGCCATGGCTCTGTCCATGAAAAGCAGGTCGTTGTTCTGGTGGCACCACCAGCAGGACGTGTCGTGGGGAAGGTGCCGCGGTTGGGGGACTGTTGTGGCTTCATAATGTGCAACTGGTGATGTTGGGGAGCTGGTTCTGGCTGGTGGTGCCAGGGTGGAGGTCCTCATTGAGGTAAAGGTCCCTCACAGCGTAGCTGAGGTGGGAAGGCACCATAGGAGGTCTAGATTTGAACTCCTGGATGAAGCAAGGTCAGCTCTTGGGGCTGACCAGGTCCCTCCGTGTTGGGTCTTGGGGTTCTCCAAGGATGGAGGTTGCACAGCCCTTCTGAGCTGTGTGTCCCACTGGGGGACTGTCCTCCTGGTACAAAATCACCTGTCCAGCCTGGCTCTCAGCTGATGCTGTTGTTCCTCCCATCGTGCTTTGTGGTGAAGAGCTTGGCTCCACCTTCTCAATAACCTCTTCACGAGGATGGGAGGGTCCCTGTTAGGTCCACTCAACCCCAAACTGTCTCATCTCCAGGCCAAAGCAGCCCACCTCCCTCAGCACCACATCATGGGATACATCCTCCTGTCCTCCTTGGTGGCCTCCACCAGATTTGCTCCAGGTCTTTTTAGTGCCTGGGTGCAAAAACTGGATGCCATTGTCATCAAGCCATGCACTTAGAAGAAGACCCAGGTGGCCTCAAGACCTGGATGGAGCTTCAAAGCCAGGATGAGGCCACAGGTCTACAACCCCAAACAAGGTTCTTTGGGCTCTGCAGCTCCCGTCTGCCACTTGCCACAAGGCCCCTGCTCTGGTGGCAACTGGTTGGCCAGGTTCAAGAGCCAACTGTGAGCCCTGGGCCCTCCCAGTCAGCAGGGTTTCACCAGGGGTGGTTTTATCACCAGCTGGAGGACAGGATTTTGGGAGGGTGGGTCAGTTTGGGAAGCAGGTGCCACCAGACAGGGCTGTGAGTGGAGGGAACGGGGACATGTGTGGGGAGGAATCATTGCCCCACCCTCAGGTTTGCTTTCCAAAACATCTCCACTTCACCCAAAACCAAACCAAGTGGTGCCTCAGCTGAACCTTCCCCTTCCCAGCCAACAGCCTCACGTCCTTTGGGTCTGAAGAGACATTTTACCTGCTGGAATTCCTCTTCTGCCCGAGGAGTGAGGAACTCACCAGGTGCTGGGGGACCACAGGACATGGAGATAAACCTGTTAGAGCTGGCAATCCCTCCAAAGGCAGCAGGGATTGCTGAGCTCTGAGCCTTCAGTTGTTCCCCTGCACGGCCCTGAGCTGCTGGCTCCTCATCCCCAGGAGATGAGCAGGTTGGACACCAGGACAAGGGAGGCAGGTTCTTGAGGGACCAAGGATTCTCTGTGCTGGGTGAGAGCAGGTGACCTCCCATCCCCACCCTCCCTCTGACCAAAGCTGGGAAGGAAAAAAGGGGCAGGAGAAATATATGGGGAATATGAGACTCCCCACTCCCAGCAGTGGTTGGTGGCCTGGCAGCCTCCTGAGGCTCGTTAAAGGAAATTAAATTCCTTTAATCACTCTCACAGTCAGGATTAGGCTGCTTAGGGTCAAGTGCTCAGCACCAGCCCCCAGAAGTGAGTGAGACAGGAGGCCTGGCCTTGCAAAAGGTTTAGAATCATCAAATGGGTTGGGTGGGAAGGGACCTTTCAAGGCCATCCAGTCCAACCCCCTGCAGGGAGCAGGGACAGCCCCAACTAGAGCAGGTTGCTCAGAGCCCCGGCCAACCTCCCCTGGGATGGTGCCAGGGATGGGGCAGTGACCACCTATCTGGGCAGCCTGGGACAGGGGCTCACCACCCTCAGGGTCAAAAATTTCTTCCTTCTCACTAGTCTAGTTTTAATTAGAAACCATCCCTCTTGTCCTGTCCCAACAGGCCCTGCTCAGAAGTCCCTCCCCAGCTTTCGGACAGGCCCCTCCAGTGCTGAAAGGCTGCAACACACACACTGGGCATCCACCAAGGAAAATCCTGCCTTGACATTTAACTAGCAGAACAATATCTTTAATACCACGAAT